GTGACAGATTTGACATCTCTTTTGAGCTGATAAAACTTGTTCCATCAGCACAGTTTGTGCACAAGTTCATTATGCTTCTCCTCTTCTTATCTGACCAAGCATCAGTCAGGACAGAGCACCCATTCTTTATCTTTTCAGCATCACGCTCCAACAGCAAACTCTTGGTCCTTGCATATTCCTCAGCCAACAAACCACCCCTTAATTGGTCTTGAGAAGGAGGTTCAAATCCAACACCAAACTGACCAATGGCTTCACACATTTGTAAAAACTCATCATTGTCAATAGAATTAAATGGTATTCCTGTAAAACAGAGAAAAATAATGCAAATCAATGTTGGTTACCATGTCAATGCATATAAAAATGGCAATAGTGACGATTACATAGATATAGAAAAGTAAATAGCAGTAGCTGTTATTAATTAATTACCATGTGCATACATCCATCTTGCAACATACCGCTGCACCTCATGTGTTCTCTGCTTCCAAAGTTCCTTGTTTAACTTTTGTTGCTTCAAGGCTTCAGCTTGTGTTGATTTAGGATCAATTGGCCTTGTCCACTTATCAATAGGCCCTAGCTTGTGGGGCTCTGAGCTTCCAATACAAGTAACTTCTTCCTCTGTACCTCCTTCAACACGAGAAACATTCACATCTTCTCTGAGACTTAGCTCACGGACAATCTTTTCCCTCTTCTTCCTTGCTGCCCCATCAAGTGATTTCTTGCACTTCTCTTTATCTTCTGGTTTGCTGTCCTTACATTTGGCCACAGTAGTTCCAACATGAGCTATATGTTGCTTGAGACGATAAATCCCTCCCGAGCTCTCATGGCCACAAAGTTTGCATTTCACCTTGTTCATGTTGGTAGGATCAACCAGAAACCCATAATCCCATCCAACATCATCTGACTTCCTCTTCAAAACATTTTCTTTCTCCACTGCTGCTGGTTGTCCAGAACTAGGTGGTTCCATCCTACAAGTGCAAAGCAAGCAGCCAAGCATGCAACCAATCAACAAAGATTAATTTACATGCAAGGGGAAAAAAAACCACAAAAACACACAGTATCCTGCAGTAATCTCATAATCAAACAACATAGTCTGCACACACAGTATCCTAAGTCCTAACCAATAGCCCTTTACTTAAAAAGTAAAAACCACAAAAACACTGAAGCAAACAAAAACACCAATCAACTCTACAGTTAAACGACAACTACAAAATAACACAAAGGATATACAAAGTCCATGTACAAAAAACACTAACAACCAGGGAAAGTACCCCATAACTCCCTTACGCAGAAGCAAAAAACAACCAGCCCCTACACAAAAGAAGACAAAGACATATTAACAAAAACAAAGACTACAAAGGCAGATAACATAGCAATAAACAACCTGACCCTACACAAAAGCTGACTAAGACATATTAACAAATACAAAGACTTCAAAGGAATAATTATATATGTCTTTCCACTTGCTTCCACATTTATTTATCCAGGAGTAATTAGGCATAGAAAATTAGCAATATTCTATTCAGTTAACTAATCTATTATCTAAACAATGAGCAATTGGCCATATATATTATTTATCTATTGATTTGTACTCTGAACAAACAAAGAGCAATCAAGAGGTGGCACAATATTTTACGCAGGAAAGAGCAATATGTTAAAGAAATATATTAGTTGTACTACACTATTATAAAAAGCAATCATCCAATCACCAAACCAGATAACCAAATGCTAGTGGGCAGTTGCAATCGAGATCAACAGGAATATAATAACCAAATGCAGACTAAGATGAGAGAAGCAGGGATTGCCGGATTGGAGAACCAGGGGAGGGAGGACAAGAGAAAAAATGAAGCTGTCGAGGAGGGGACTTAGGACTCGGGAGGGAGATGCAGATGCTCACTTTGCTGGATGCAGGGAGTTCGGCGGCACAGGTGTCGGAGGTGCGGGTGTCAAGCAGGAAGACGACGAGGTCGATGTCAACCTCTGGTTCGGCGGCGCAGGATGGTCTTGCTCTCAAGTCTCCACCCGTCCAACTCCAACCCTAGGTCAATGACTTCCTCTTTTCTTTTATCTCCTTGCGCCAATCGATTTCCCGCCTTGCAGTTCGCGCGTGCGATTGGGAACCGCGCTTCCGCGGCGCTTCGGATCCGCTTTTCTCCGCCTTGGCCGCCTACGCACGCTTCGCCAACGCCTAGGCACGCTGAAGCGGTTGCGACACATTGGGGGTGCTTTTGGCCCAAAGCGATGCGTGACCCGTCCGCGTAGCGCGGAAGCGCGTGGAAGCGTACGCTTAATCCCGCTTTTCTGAACCTTGAATTTTACATATGTGGCATATAAATAGACTTAAGTCTTAAATGACATGGACAAACCCAAGTAAAAAAACTCAAAAGCTATTCAATGCAAAAATAAAATACAAGGTCTAGCATACATGACAACCAATAAAAATGCTTTAATATATTTCATTTATTAAAAGAAAAATTAAATGAGGAATAAATGATGAGTGCTTGGGTTTGTACTTGGGTCTAAAATAGACCCAAGTGTGGACTAGGTCTCTTTTTTTTTATTGTCGCGTAAGCTAGACTAGGTCCACTTTTAATTGCATTGGGAAACACTTTTTTATACACTAGGTCTATTTCCTACATGGCATGTAATTTTTTTCTAGAGACCCAAAGCGTTGTGGGTGCTCAGTGGATTTGTAAGTGTAGATGGTTGTATACTATGGATGCCTGTGTAGTTCTTTCATTACATTCAGTTGTGTGCCTAATTGATTATTTCTGATTATTATCTAAACTAGTACAATATATTACACGGGTGTTTGCTAATTTATTTTCTTAAAATATAAAATTAATGAGAAAAAATAGTTCAAATTTTAAATACTTTATACAAAAATATATATTATTATATATTTAGTATGACATTTTTTGTGTGCAACTTACATGTGTCATATTATAATAATTTTTTAACTTACAACATATAACTACAATAAAAATAAATATATCAATTGATAAATAATTTTATTTTTCTGGTGAATTTTAATAAATATTATTATTCTTTATTATTATAAAATAAATATAATTTATTTATTTCATATATACAATATGGATGTCAAATCGAAGATAATCAAAAGATGATTAATTTGATATACAATATATGTAAAACTGATAATAAATACAAAAGTTATCAACTTTAAAAATACATTTACAATTCAATAGCTAATTGAAGGAAACAAATCAAACTCAGGGATATATTAGTCACTTAGTGTCTCACTATGTAAAGTTACAAATAATTAAAGGGTTATATTAGTATAAGTGATATTAAAATTACCTAAGTTAGATAAAAAAATATTTATGTAATGTCCGAACCCAGATTATTAATTATTAATATATCAATATTATTTGTTCAAATCTAATTACGAAGCATGATTCTTCGCCAAGTAGGATTACGAAGCACCAGAAGCAGCCACGTAGGTTCAGTGCATTCGAGAATTATATATACGGAGGATTTAATTATGTGTTTTTTTTTTTAGAACTCTATTGTTTGACAAAAATAAAATAAAACTAATCGATTTTTAAGGAAAAGGATCACTTTTTTTCCATACCCATATATGGAATTTTTTTTTTTTCATACCGGCTTTTCAAATTAATAACTAATAGTACAACATCAATGTAAACACTGGTGTTGGTTAAAAAATTAGCCTTAAATTTTAAATTTAATAATTTTTTTAATATTTAATTACCTTTTTACAAAAAAATATATATTATTATATATTTTAGAATGAGACTTGTTACTTGCGCGACTTATATTGTTCTATACTTATATTACAATTTTTTTAACTTATATCATATAACTATATTAGTTGATAAATAATTTTATTTTTTTAATTAATATTAAAAATAAATTTATTATTGTTATAAAGATAAATATAATTATTATTTTTATACATGCAATATGGATGTTAAATTGAAACTCATCAATGATGATTAATTTGATATATTATATGTTAGCCCTATTAATCATGTGTCCTTAATTAGATAGTTTAATAGTTTAATTAGATAGTTTCAGTTACTTTCTTTTTTTTTTTTTTTTTTTT